CCACAACTACAGCGTGTAAATTAAAGATTTTACAAGGATATAAATGTACAGTCAGCAGTTTTGTGTGGTATCCATTTGAGTTCCACAAGTTCAGGCCTTCACAGCTAAAACACGAGAAACTACGTATGCTAGGAAATAATCATTGCCTTTTGTATTCCATTAGTAAGTAGGAAGTTCTTTTCGGGCAAAGGAACGCTACTTTGTTGTACAGACTCCCAAGGGGATACTTCCCTATCTCTAAAGGTTTAACATCCTCAAGTGTAGGTTCAACCATTTTCTTTCCTACATATCATAATCTGTATTTTTCTCCCTCTATTACGTTTATACCAAACTTGATTATTATAATCCTCTACCTTAAGTGACTTTTCGGCCTTGTATTGGGTGATCAATTAGTATAATTAAAACAGATATGAAAATGTAATTTCAAAAGCATAATTTACGAGGGTCAATCAATAATACTGATCGAAATAAAGACACTGAATTATTTGAATTTTGATCTGACATTTTTACTGTATAAGGCTCGATCTATAGGACTGATATTCGCCACAGAATTAAGCTAAGCAAATTATTTCCGTTCAAAGATGCTTTCCAAAAACTAAGCAAAGTATTAAGAAACGGGAAAATTTCGTTAGAAAAAAGAAAAAGTTCTGAACTGTTATGTAATATAGCTGCTCCCAAATGGCTGTGAATACTGGATAATCTTATCATCTTCTCACAGATGAAGAAATCTGAGTCAACAGAAATGTGGTTCTACAGAAAGGATGCTGAGAATACCATAGATTGAAAATGTGAGCAATGTTGCAGTTTGACAACAAAATGGAGAATTATACTTAGCAAGAGTTGAAATTTCTATGAAGCAAAATAAGGAAAGCGGGACTAGAGAATTTGAAACACACAGGATGGCAAGAGGGACAGGGGAAGAACTTATCTAAAGAGGTTGTGGATATGGTCCGGAGGCGATAGCAAAAAGACAAAATTCATTAAAAGCTGCAAATGACAAGTCTTGCAGAGCCATGATATCTGTTTAGTCAAGAGTGCAGATAATTTATTGACTTTCCTTCGTATATATACCAAACGGCAGGCAGCAAAAGATATATTTATTATTATTAGTAGTAGTAATAGTTGTAGTAGTAGTAGTAGCAGCAGTAGTATATATATATATATATATATATATATATATATATATATATATAGTCTTAAGGTATATATATATATATATATATAGTCTTAAGGTGTGCTATATTTATGGGATAAAGTGCTCAATATTAGAGATAGAGGCGTGTGTAAAATAAAAGCGAACATTAAGTCAACACTTAGAGGCGACAGTCTGAGGCCTGACGATTGCATCTAGCATGAAACAGACTACGTGTTGACTTCTATGCTTATATATATATATATATATATATATATATATATATATATATATATATATATATATATATGCTTGAATTATATCTGAGGAACCAGGAAAAATCATTTTCCTGGTGAAATAAAATATAATCAATGGACCATTAATGTTTTTTTTTTTTTAATTCAATTAAATATATATATATATATATATATATATATATATATATATATATATATATATATATATGTATTAAGAATACAATTATTGTTAATCGTATGGGATTTCCAAGATAATATAGATCCACTGAGAGCTTTATTTCATAGACAGAGAAATAATTATTATATAAGGAAAAACAAACACTTAAAATACTATAGGTGATATTTATTTCATTGAGAAAAACGGCTTCAAATCTTCACACCTGTAAACCAAATATATATATATATATATATATATATATATATATATATATATATATAGAGATAGAGATGCGTGTGTGCGTGTGTGTGCTTGCGCGCGTGTGCTTGTGTGTGTGTGTGTGTGTGCTTGCGTGTCTGTGTGTGTGCGGGAAGCTATTACCAAACTTATTTTATCAAAAGACAGAAAGTATTCAAACGCTAGATAATTTACTGTTAACATCTCGACGCATCAAACTACATTTGACTTATATCTCCGGGATGATATCTTTCCCGAAATCGTAACATTTTCGCATTTGATATAAGTCGTTTATATTTCCAGTTCACGGACATGTGCCGCCATATGTTCATAATTAGATACACGCAAATGTTATCTATCTATCTATCTATCTATCTATCTATCTATCTATCTATCTATTGTCGGACTTAATCCAATTCATTATAGGTTCCCATTGTTTACGTTATGTTACTTTTCGTGAGTAGATATGATCGATCGAGAAAGATCGCCGAAGAGTGTGTGTTTATCAACAGTAATCTGGACTTTGCTAACCAGACGCTTCTCTGTAGCTGAATGGTATATCACGTCAGGTTAAATGACGGTTTCCGTATAAGAATATAGGTTCGATTCCTGTCGGAGAACGCATTACTTTCTACGAAATTTCTCGAACATTCAGGCTGATAAGTGTAACTAATACTGTTTAATTAAAAACAGAGCATTTACTTAAATAAATTGTATCTATTAAAAACAATGTATAAACAGAAAATATATTAAATAATTGTCGGATTTAATCCACTTTTACACACACACACACACACACACACACACACATATATATATATATATATATATATATATATATATATATATATATATATATATATATATATATATATATATATATATATATATATATATATATATATAGCGCCTCCAGGTGGTGGTGTAATGGTTAGCAAGCTTGTATCACTAGAACAATCACGACTGAGTAGTCAGTTCGACCCTCACTGGGTGCCCTGTACTTTCGGACTCGTGCCACATCTGAGCTACGCTTGGAAAATCATTCTATATATATATATTTGTTTTGATTAGTTGATAAGATGTTAAGGTCAGTATGACGTCATCAGGGAATAAATGCAAAGTTTTATTTTTTTTTTAATTTTATGTTTTATTTGTGTGTGGATTATTTATTTATTTTTATCCTTTGCATCCTTTTCAATGTCCGTGATTGGTTTCTTCTCAAACTCTGTCTTAAACGAAATCTGGAAACTCTATCGAAGAAAAAACTAATACACATACAAAAAAGAAAAAAAAAAGGAGAAGAAAAATAAATGCGTTGGCATCCGTCCGTCCTTTTGGGGTGATGATAGTGTAGCCCAAAGCGTTACGTTGTGCTACGTGCGTAGACATGGGCGGTGGCTATTGAGATTTTAGGTTACTTGTACGTCAAGTTCCCCGAATCGGTCCTGATCTTAAGCTTCAAGAAAACAAAAAGTGTAAAACAATGTAGTTTGTTAACGGCGCATGTGCGGAACTTGCCGCAAGGTGACGGAATAGACCATCTAACTTAGAATCCCCTCTATGGAGTTTTGTCAAATGCAATAGTTTGCATTCTGTTCTTCCAAAGATATTCCCAAGATAATAGGGTTAGAATTCGGAATGTTTTTTTTGGCTTTTTTTTTTCCGAAATACCTTCGAGACGAAGGAAGAGAGAATTTGGTCTAGCTCGTTCTTTAAAGCAAAGCTGGAGAAAGATGGCTGAGTGACTTTCTTATTGGTCTGAAGATCGTAATGAGGTAGATAGATTGATAAATATGAACATAAATGTGGACATGGATAGAGAGAACCATAGATATATATGAATAGACAGTGATAGATAGACAAAAAGACACACAGAGACAAAATATATATATATATATATATATATATATATATATATATAT